CCTTGGATCAAGTACGGAACTAGACTACATCCCCTCTAAGTTGCCACCATTGCATTTTGGTGACAGATTAATTTATTTCCTGAGTTCCACAGGTTCCCAGATGGATGGATTATATATATCTAGAGTTCTCCACCACCACCACCACCACCACCACCAGCAGCAGCAGCAGACATAGATGATTTAGATGAGGAGTTTGGGGCTTTGAGTTGATGTAAATGGCATGAGAACTTTGGGATGTGTGGGGCAGGGTGAGTGGATTTGGCATCTGGGATGGACCTGCATCATCAGAGGCCAGAGGCAGGCTGGGTAGGTAGAATGCCTTCCCCCAAGAGATGTCCACGTCCTAATCCCTGGTACCTAGGAATGATACCTTATGTGGCAAAAGGGACTTTGTGGATGTGACTAGATCGACTAAAACCCTTCAGCTGGGAAGATTATCCTGGTGAGCCCAATCCAATCATGAGTATTTAAAATCCGAGGTGAGGCTGTAAACAGGAGAGGTGAGGCAGAGTGGGAGGTCAGAGAGATTTGAGGGGTAAGAGGACCCCGTGTTTCACAGGGAGCAGCCATGTGTCTTCTGCTTACTGTGTGTCCCCAGAGTCTGGAACACGGCAGGTGCTGAGGAAGTGCTTGGTGACAGAAAGACCAATGAAATGAACTTTTTTTTTTTTTTGAGCACATAATATTAGGGTGGTTGGTGACAGGGGCTGTGAAAGATTTCACAGAGAGAAGAAAGTATAGAGTAAAGATTTTACTCACTCTACAAGAAAGGAGAGGGGCATGGTGTGGAGAGACACACCAGCATTAAGGGGTGGGGGCTTCAAGCTTTTGTTGGATTTAAAAGGGGTGGAGTGGGTTGCTGTTGTGTGGCCCCTGGGAGGTTGGGTCCAACATTATCTTCTGCCCCTGGCTGTAGGGAGTGGTTGCTCACATTCTGTTCCTACTTTCCAGTAAGTTCCTGCCCTGGGGACGAGCTCAGAAGAGTGAAATGGAGTCATGCTTAACAAGGTCACAGGCCTGCTGGGCAAATGATGCCACATAGCAAATGGTGCCGACTTTGCCCTTTCACCTAAGACTGCCTGGATTCCAGTGAACAGCCATGTGGACAAGCTACTTCACCTGCCTCCTAATCACCCCTTCACTACAGATGACAGAAATAAGGCTCTGAGAGGGAGGAGTAACTTTCCTAAGCTCACCCTATTAACAAACAGTAGGGCTGGGGCTCAGAGGACCACTGGAACCCATCTGCTTGCCAAACCCAATGCCCTGTCCCACCCCTAACCCCCAAGATGGCTTGGCCACAATAGGCAACACCCCCAGGGTGGACAGCTGTGAAGCCTATGGCACCATTTTGTTCCTTTGCTTCTTTCTGTGGTCCCTGGCTGCCGTCCCATTTTGGATGGCACAGGCCAGCAGGGGGTGCTAGTACCTAAATGAAAAGACCATGAGCTCTCACTGGCGGTCTAAGAAGGATGCATCTGGGGAAGCAAGACTGCTGACACAATCCTCCGAGAAAAAAGCGCTGGAGACAGCAGCCCTCATGGGAGAATATCACAGGGCTGACTGTACTACCCAACATTCCAAAAAAAACCAACCAAGGCCATGAGCTCCAGAGCGGGTCTGAGGCATTTCTCCATAAGAGCCATCTCAAAATGGAGGTCCTGGCCACCTACCCCTGCAGCGTGGGACAGCGACTGGCCTGAGACCTGTCTCTGCCAGTCTGAGGGCCAGATGCTTTTGGGCAAAGGACTTCCATCCCCTTGGCTGCAGTCTCCATAGCCATACGGGCAGTGGCAGGGTAAAATGAAGTAACACGGGAGAAAACTTCTAGCAGTCCCTGGCACATAACTCTTGGTTGAATTCTCATTCTTTATCCAGGGTTGGTTAATGAGTCCTGTAGAACTAGAATTCTTTTTCTCCCCGTGACTCAGCTGTCTCTCTCTTTTTTTTCCTCCAGACTTTTCTGTCTTTACCGAGTCATCCTTATCTGTACTTCAGAACATTCTAAAACATTCTAGCAAGCACCCTCAGCCTGGTTACAAAATACCCCAGGGTGCTTGACTTAAAAGGTACACTTAGGCATGGACTGCAAGGGCTCCTTTCATTTGAAAACTGTGTGTGCCAAGTGTAAATTCAAGAACACGTTATACCTTTGCTCGTATATTTCCTGTCCTCCCACCTAAAGCCCAATCATTCACTGAACGTTTATACACTCACTGCCCTTATATATGTTATGCAAGGTCATTCACTTACTGCCATTCTCTTACTGCCCATATATATGTTATACAAGGCCTGACACTGGGTGGAGAGATGGAAAAATAAGACACAATCACATCACTGGAGGCCCCTCCAGGGTAGACAGAAATGTGCCTCTCTACATAACAGAGATCTGTTCTCAGAAGGATTCTAATCTGGTTCCCATGAATCTAGCAGGTACCATCCTGTGGACAAATTATCTCATTTCACAGACTGACCTCCACGCCCAAGCACAGACAGGACAGGGTCAGCACTGAAGCCTGGTTGTGGCTAAGTCTCTCCTTTACCCTAAGCAGGTAGAGGGCCCTAAAAGGTGTTATTTTGCACAGGCTACAAGATGCCTGCTAAATGTAGGTCACTATGGCTGAAAATGCATTTTTTCACCCTTATTCTTGCAGACAGGCAGCTTTTCAGAGTTTTGACCGTGGCCTGAGGTTTAGCAACACCAGCCTAGGCAACATGGGCCGTTCAGTGACCTGACCGATCTCAGGACCACAAGGTGATGACTAACACCCCTGGGGTTTGAAGACAACTGCACACAGTGTGTCTTCCAAGTCTTTCTTCTCCTTGACCATTAAATCATATGCAAACAGACCAGGAGGCAAAACACAACTAGTTCACATGGTCATTCTTTCCCCTTCCTTCTTCACCTGCTACATAAGATTTTTGTGGTAAAACATAGGCTTTACAAGAATATGCAACAGAAAGAACTAGGGAACTCAGATCCAAAACCATCTAAATGAGGGTTTTCTTTTTTTTTTTCTTCTTCTAATGTAAAGCAGTTCCAAGAAAAGTGAAGTCACAGCCTAGGGTGCTTATTTTCAGTTCTTAGAAAAGAGCCAATTTCAAAAGGGAAGCAGCGCAGCCCAAGCACACAGCCTGCCCTTGTCTGGAGAGGGGTGGTTGGTGATAAACCAACTTTGATTTGGCACCAGAACACTAAAACCCCCACCCGAGACGCGTTTTCATTTGGTGATGTCAGTGAGGAAACGCTAGCCCAAACAGTGAGAGTTATTAATATTCAGGGAAACCACAAGAGCTCAGCTAACATGCTGAGGTGGCACACTTCCAAAGAAGCCACCAGGAGCCACTGCCAAGCTGTGGGGACTGTCAGCAAAACCCAGGGCACTGTCCTTTGCCCACCTCCCACACTCCTGAGTTCATTCACTGCTCAGGAAGCAGTACCAGCCCAATTGGAACTTCAACTGGGCATTGTTTACTGGAAGTTAGGTGAGGACCAATGAGTAGAATATGGTGCAAAAGACTCTCAGCAGCCTGGCACAGTGCTGTGGCAGAAAAGGTTTTGGATAAGGGGAACTTCAGTAGAAGGTCTTCAGAGGACTATCACATACCCAGCTCAAGGGCTACTATGGGGAACTCCACAGTAATTTTGGAATAAAGCTTGAACCTAAGAATCCTGTAACAGAGATCCCATGGACCACATCCAATGTCAATGTAATCAAAGCAACTGGTCGACTGCCCCGGCGAGGAGGAGCCTAACGGGACACGAGGAGTGAATGTAATGGGTACCTGGGTGGGATCCTGGAACAGGGAAAGGAAATTGGGGGGGAAAAAACTAAGGGAATCTAAATTTAAAGTATAGACTTTTGTTAATAATAACATCTCAGTATTGGTTCATTAATTTTAACATATGTGCCATACTAATAATATAAGAGGTTAATAATTACAAAGGGAACTAGATGTGGTATATGGGAACTCTTTGTACTGTCTTTGCAGGGTTTTTTTTTTTTTTGCAGAAATAAAACTGTTCTAAATAAATAAGTATTTTTAAAGGCAACTGATGGATATAAGTAAGAACTTCCTACTCCTTCCAACAACAATTATTTGGTGGTCACCATGTGCCAGGCACATATGAAAGTGATTTAAATGCATCTTCATTTATTCCTCACATTGGCACTATGAGCTGGGTATAATCTGCACCTTATAGATGAGGAAATTAAAGCCCAGAGAGGTTAGGTAACTTCCTTACAGTCTCACAACAAGTTTAAGAGATGAAGAGCTCATATTCAGGTCTGTAAGGCTGCAAAGTTCCAGAAACAGCTCATCAACATGGCCTGGCTCAGTGGACTGATTGAGTACCAGCCTGCAAACCAAAGGGTTGCTGGTTTGATTCTCAGTCAGGCCACATGCCTGGGTGGCGGGCCAGGTCCCCAGTGGGGGGCATGTGAGAGGCAACCACACACATTGATGTTTCTCTCCCTGTTTCTCCCTCGCTAAAAATAAATAAATAAATAAATAAATAAATAAATAAATAAATAAATAAATAAATAAATAAAAAAAAACATGGCCTGAAAATCCCCAAACTTTGAACATAAACCTGCACAAAGCAAGCTTCAAGAGGTCAACAAACCCAGATCAGTAATAAAAACAATGCATTATTTCCAATTGGCCCACCTTTAAAAAAAAATGCTATAGTTTAAAAACATAGCAAATCCAAAACACTAAAAATACCAAATACTGGTGAGGATGTAGAACAACAGAAACTCACTTACTGCAGATGGAAAAGCAAAATTGTACTTTGGAAGACAGTGCCATAGACTGGATATGAGTTCCCCCAAAACCCCACGTTGAAATGTGGGGTCTTTGGGAGGACTTAGATCATGAGGGCAGAGCCCTCATGAATGGGATTAGTGCCCTTGCAAGAGACCCCAGAGAAATGTGGGGTCTCCCTTCTCTCTTCTGCCATGTGAGGACACGGAGAGTACCGCCATCTATGAACCAGGAAGCAGCACCTTGACTCTGTCAGCACATTGATCTTGGACTTCCCAGCCTCCAACACGGTGGAAAAATAAATTTCAATTGTTTTCTTAAAAGATTTTATTTATTTACTTTCAGAGAAAGGGGAAGGGAGGGAGAAAATGAGGGAGAGAGACATCAATGTGTGGCTGCCTCTCTCATGTCCCCAACTGGGGACCTGGCCCACAACCCAGGCATGTGCCAATTGGAAATTGAACCTGCAACCCTTTGGTTCGTAGGCTGGTGCTCAATCCACTGAACTACACCAGCCAGGGCTAAATTGGTTTTAAGTCCCCTAGTTTATGGTGTTTGTCATAGCATCCCAAATGAACTGAGACAGACAGTCTGGCAGTTTCTTACAAGGCTAAACATAGGCTTACCACATGATCACCAGGTGTGCTCCCAGGCATTTACCCCAGTAAACTGAAACTATGTCCACAGCCCTGATTAGTGTGGTCTAGTTGGTTGGGAGTCATCCCACAAAGTAAAAGGTTGCCAATTTGATTCCCCATCAGGGAACATGCCTGAGTGTGAGTTCGGTCCCTAGTCCGGGTGCGTGTGAGGCAGCCAACTGATGTTTCTTTCTTTCTCTCCATCCCTTCCCCTCTCTCTAAAAATTTCTATTAATAAAAAACTAGAATCAAATCGATGCCTTTCAGAGGTGAATGGATAAACAACGCATAGTGCATCCATACAATGGAGCATTATTCAGCAAAAAAAGAAATCTGTATCAAGTTGCAAAAAGACACAGAGAAATATTAAATGCATATCACTAAGTGAAAGAAGGCCATCTGAAAAAAAAAACCAACCCTACATCCTGTATGATTCCAACTCTGTGATATTCTGGAAAAGGCAAGACTATGGAGATAGTAAAAAAAGACCAGTGGTTATGAGGTGTAAAGGGGTAGGAGAGATGAACAGGTGGAGCACATAGGATTTTTAGGGCAGTGAAACTATGTGGTATGATACTATAATGGTAGGTAAGTGTAAAACTCAGAACTGTTTATCACAAAGAGTGACCCAAACTTCAGTTAATAATAATGTATCAGTGTTGGTTTGTCGATTATAACAAGTGTATCACCAACACAAGATGCTAATAATAGGAGAAACTGGGCCCTGACTGGTATAGCTCAGCAGATTGAGTGCGGGCCTGCAAACCAAAGGATCACAATTCGATTCCCAGTCAGGGCACATGCCCGGATTGCAGGCCAGTTTCCAGCAGGGGACACACAAGAGGCAACCATACATTGATATTTCTCGCCCTCTCTCCTTCCCTTCCCCTCTAAAGATAAATAAAATTAAAAAAATAATAGGAGAAACTGAGGAAAGGGGTATACGGGAATTATATACTTTTTGTTATTTTTTCCTGTAAATCTAAAGATGCTCTTTAAAACATCTATTTAAGAAACATACAGCATATGAAACAATTATTAGTGGTAGATGACTCATAATGCAGCAAAACTCTACAGCACTGTTGGAACAAAACCTGGCTCCTTTGACACTTACAATCTAAGGGGAAAAGAGGGCTGGGTTAGAAGCAGAGAGCAGAAACCCAGTGTTCAATACAATCACAACAAAAGGTCATTCCATACCAAAAATGTAAGAGCTCTGTACCAGGAGGATGCTCCCAATGCAGTGTCTCATCAAAAGTTAAGAGGCAGAAGTTAGCAGTTGCTTGAGAGTTGTTCTCAATCAATCTTTAGTTTCAATATGAAATCCTGAAAGCATTTCAGCAGCTCCTACCATCACCCACATCTAAGGGAAATGGACAGGAAGGCTGAGTGGTGTTCGGAAGGGAGCTATGTCTTGGAGAGGTTGCTGAACCGTTTGACTTGCAAACTGGCCATGGAAGTTGTTGATGGAGAAGACGTGGGCCCATGATGTCCTTCTTCTTTCACACAGTCTATTTTCCTGCCCATAACCACACCTGACTGAGATTCACTTTAATCACCAAGGGCAAAGACTGAGATGCCAAGTCTGCATCGTAAAATAGGGTTGCGGTGGTAACAGAAAAAGTATCGTCACTAGTAAAACTTGAAAACTGCAACATGAGATTTCTATGTGCTTTAGAAAGAATGAACACACATAAACCAAAGCAGAGAGAGAGAGAATGAACACATCTGCTTTTCATCAGCCAACAGCCATCAAAGCACAGGGGCAGCAGGGGCAGCAGGGGCAGCAGGGGCTGAGTGAACTGCAGTGTGTGTCCCAGCATTTAGAAATCCTACATCTGGACTCCCTGGTGAGCCAGAGCACAGCTCTCCGAGAAATTTTTGAGAAATACACATTGAACAATGTCCCTGAAGTCCACATGGTATAAGAACCTAAGTCTTTTCAGAATTGCAGTTGTTTTTAATGACACCTCCAATATCTCCTAAGGAATATTCCTGTGTAAATCTTCTACTTCCAGTGCCCACATGCTTTCATGGACGGGATTATCAGAAAGATCCGTCATCTTCACAGCCTGTAGGCATGGCTCAGGAATGCAGGCCTGAATCACTCCCATTACCATCACATATTTTCCTAGAAGAAAAAAAGGCCACGGTAATGCTCATATTAATAGAAAAAAAACAAAAACAAAACAGACTCAGTCCTTTAGAGGGCTTAACTTTATCAGAGAGGCAACTTAGACATAAAAGAAAAAAAAACAGAATAGACATCAAATCGTCAAAGCAATCAGTGATCAATACTTATATATACTGACACTGAGTTCAATATTTAACTTGGAACATGACATGTGTATCTTCTTTGTGTCTAATTTTCAAATCCTAAAAAAAAAATTGCAGCAAGCTACCATCATGTGCAAAACAATCATGCTAAAGAATGGAACTGCAGTTATTAAGAACCACACCTAAAACAAAAGCAAACTAAGAGGACAGCTAGATCAGGAGTGAACCATAGAAATGAAGATCACGTGGAGGGTTAGCAACAGGGGAGTGGGAGAAGGGGGGAGAAGGTACAGAGAATAAGTAGCATAGACAGTAGGTAGAAAATAGGGGGAGGGCAAGAATAGTATGGGAAATATAGAATCTAAAGAACTTGAGACACATGGTCATAAACTAAAGGGGGGAATGGTGGGGGCAGGGGGTGCAGGGTGGGGGGGATAGAACAACTGTAATGGCATAATCAATATAAAAAAAAAGAATGGAAGAGACTTACATCAGAGTATAAGCTGCAATTAGACAGACTGCTCTCAGGAAGGGGCAGAAAACCCAAGCTTGTCTCTTGTCCTTATTCCTTACTCAATGCCACAGTGTATGTGGCTGGTCTTTGCGCACGGGACCAGCCCTCTTTCTGCAAAGACACCCCCGCAATGGCCCCAAAGCAAATCCAATTTTCCCTCAATGTTACCAAAAAAGCTGGACACTCTACAGCAGCCCCCTTGCTCCCCTGCCACCTCCTGCTTTGTCCAGACCACCAGCTGGGTACACATAAGCAAATCGACAAGAGGGCAGGCTGCCATCAAGATGATCTAATGACAAATTAACTGCGACTCTCTTCCCATCCCCATGGGGAAGTGGCTCTCCTTGAAAGCAAAACTTGGCAGGTCTTAACCACACAAAACTCAATTGTGTAAAAAACCCCAAACACAGCAGGAAGGGCAGGCACGCTGCCAGCTTCTGCTGCATGCCCCTTCAAGGTCACTTCCATCACAATGCTTCCAGTGGCAGGGCTGAGTTCGCACACGGGCCCCAGGGCTCTGACTGAAGGAAGCCAGGCAAGCTGGCACCTGATGCTCTGGTTTTGAACTCCTGGAAGTATGTACTTAGGTTTATTTGAACTCATCTCCAGAGTCTACTGAGCAAGTAACATGAGGTTCCTCAATGACAGAGGCCAGTTCTAAAAATACACTTGTCATACCCTCTGAATGGCTCTAAAGTGCTGGTAGAGATCAAACCCTCAAACAGAGAATGACTAAAGACCCAGGAAAGGAAGAACAAGCCCAAGGAGATCCCAACCAGAAGAGGTTCACAGGAGACACACTAATGAAGGCACCCACAGGATAAGCCCAAAGGCACGTGCGCTTTCCTCCCCAAGATTAGACAACCTGGCTGCTAGTCCTGTTCATTCTACCCAGTACATTCTCCCTCCCGTGTCTCTCCACTGTCTCCCTTTCCCTTTCCTTCCCTTTGGTCAAGCCTTTATCCTCTGGCCACTTCAATGACTTCCAGCCAGTCTACTTCCAGCTGCTTCCTCTTCACAAACAATACCATTGCCCTAGTGCAGCAACCTTTCTCAAATGCAGCTCCAGCCTTCAGAACCCTCTGATCACAATGCACTCTAGGTCACTGTTTGTTTCTCCCCTCTTGCCCTACAGACTGGGAGCAACTTGAGAGCAGGAAGAGTTCTGACTCAATTCTGCACATGCAGCACCTGACATTTATGGAAACACACTGCTGATATGATGAACACAGCTAACAGCTACCTTGAAACAGGAAGGTCCTTCCACAAACAGCTCAGCAGGATGGGAGCCCTCCCACCTTTCACTGCTGCTCCACATTTTGTCTCAGGCTCCCCAAAGGCACAGGGCTCTCACCTCTGAGCCTTTGCACATGCTGTTCCATACACCTGGACGATATCCTGCCTCAGACGGACATAGGGTGACCAACTCTTCCGGCTTTAAAATGGAAAGTCTCACCCTCGCCAGTGTGGCTCAGTTGGCTGGAGCATTGTTCTGCAGACCAAAAGGTTGCAGGTTCAATTCCTGGTCAGGACACACACCCAGGGTATGGTTTTAACCCCCGGTAGGGGTGCATAACCAGGTTGGGGCATATACGAGAAGGCCACCAATGTTTCTCTCTCTCCCTTCCTCTTTCTCTAAAAGTAATTTAAAAAAATGTGCTCAGGTGAGGATAAATGTATGAACTGTAAGTCCCACCATCCAGGATCCCCCTCGGTCCTAGGCAACCTGGGAGGGTTGATCCCTACAGTTAATTCCAACACATTCTTCACGAACACCTCCTTCAGGAAGGCTTCCCTGACCATCCGAGTCAGTTGTCCCGCCTCTGCTCAAGCCTAGATATTACTCTGTTTTAGTGGTCTGTTTACTTTCCTGGCTCCCTGCCTGAAGGCAGTTCACTAGGATTTGTCAATTAAGACCTAGTATGAATTAACAAGAGGAAATGGCATGGCCCCTGCCGCAGGCATTCAGGCAGTAGGTAAGTCAGACAACCACTGGTGCCAACCTCATGCCAGGGCTGGAACCAGACATGAGAGACACCGAGCAGGTCAAGTTACATGCTAGGGCAAGGGTCAGCAAATTTTTCTCTGAAGGGCCAGATATTAAATATTTCAGGCTTTGCAGGCTATAGAGTGTCTGTTGCAGCTCAAGTCGGTACTTGTACTATAAAAACAGCCCTAGATATTATGAACATGAATGCATCGTGATGTTACTTATAGACACTGATACTTGAATTCTGTATACTTTTCACGTGTCATGAAAAAGTCTTTTAATTTTTTTCAACCACTTGAAACCGTGAAACCATTTTTAGGTTAGCGGCCGTGTGAAAAGATGGGGCAGCCTGTAGTTCACTGATCCTGTGTCAGACTAACACTGCTGCAGAGGGCACAGAGGGCACAGAGGGAGGGAGGCGGAAGAATGGGGCAGGAGCGAGGGCGAGAAGGGAACAGGAGTACTTCAGAGTAAGGCACAATGGTCACAACTGTTTGAACCCTCACTATGAGCCAGGAGCTGTGTGAAGGCATTTTATGTATTGAATCCACACAGCAGGCAGAAATTATGAGCCCCTTTTGACAGAGGCAGGGCAGCCAGAAAAGTGAACGTAAGTGCTCCAGGCAGTACAGCTGGAAAGAGGCAGAGCTAGGAATTAAACCTAATGCTGAAGATACAGAAAAGAAAAGAACGGTCATGATCTCCCCCTTAGCTCTCTGGCCCAGTGGTTCTCCAGGTGTGACACCCAAGCTAGCAACACAACAGCTCAGCTCCAGGCTACTACGAAATGAAAATCTCATCCCCACCCAGACCTACAGACACTAAACTTGAGGGTGGGGCCCAGCCAGTTTTCACCAGCCCTGGGGGTGAGTCTCATGCACTCCCTACTTTGAGCATCACTGGTTTAAAAGACGCAAACTTCAGTGACTTCCAGACTAAGGCAGTTCCATAAAGGACAGGTGCGGGTGAGGCGTCCCATTCCTGGGGGTTCTGCAGGGCTTCTGAGACATAAAAGATTAACAGACGTTTCTTAGTATTTCCCAAAACTTGATGGGGGGGGGGGTGGATCACCTACCAGAAAGGGGCTCGTTACAAATACAACTGCTGGGGTGATCCCCTCCCTGGAGATTACGACTAGGAGGCCTGGGGTAAGGTTCCTAGAAACCTACACTTTAAAAAACCCTGCAAGTGATGCTTATAGTCAGATCAGCCTGGATGACGCTTGACTGAGGTTAGGACAGGAAGGAAGAAGGGTCCTGAGGAGGGAAACCAGCAAAGGCCAGAGAAGGGACGACCAAGCCCTGCTCTCTGGCTGCACAAAACAAGGGTCAGTCCCCAGTTAGACTGCGGCCATTACCTGGGGCGAGGCAGGGCCGGCCGCGCGGCACCCGCTCCAGGCCGCAAACCGAGAAGGCCCCGCTCGGGTCCCGCAGCCGCGCCTCGCCGCCGCCTGCTGCCACCACCGTGCCCTGCATCCACACGACCGTAAGCTCCAGCGGCCCGCGGCCAACCGCTGCCCGTGACAGCCGCCACGCGCCCGGGCTGCCTTCCGCGTTGCGCCGCAGCTGCTCCGCCAACACCTTGACCGGCGGTGACGACGGCAGCCTCACCGCCGCCGGGCCGCCGCCGGAAAAAGAGTTGGTCGCAGCTGCAGCCATTCCGCTAGGCGGCTGGTTTCCCGCCAACTTTGAGAGGCCCGCGGGCACCAATCAGGGGCCAGATGGTGGAGCCGGCCAATGGTCGGCCAGAAGGCGGGACCTCCCGTCTGAGTGGCCCTGATGACTAGCCGTCCGTCAGGAGTGCGCATGCGCACGTAAAGTAAATAAACGCTCCCAAACTAGGAATGAAAGGATGAAATGAATTGAAAGAGAAAGAGTAAGTGGAGGCAGGTAAAGAGCTCCCTGTTTAATGCACCTCAGAATCTGACGTGCATGCAAGTCACCTGGAGTGAGTATTCATCTTTACATCACTTTCCGTAGGAGGATACTCTGAAGTTAATAAATGTTAGCAGGATGAGCCCATGTTTACTGGGGATGATTAAGAATCGAGTCAAGAGAGAAGAATGGGAAGGGCGGGACAACTAGTAAAGATGACCTTCCTTAATAACACTATTAAATAATTTAAAGTTGATAAATATATTACTATATTTCTTCACAAAAGAAATGCACATTATTGTAGAAAATTTAAGAAAGGAAATAAAAAACTAAGAAAAACTGTAAAAACCACTCATATGTATCCACTGCTAATATTTGGGTGTATTAGCATTCAAGTTTTTAAAATATATATGGATATATAATTATGATGTGCAAATATTGTTTTGTATATTGTTTTCACTTAATAATAAACACGTTTCCATGCTTCCTCTTGAATGACCACATAATACTCTACTTGTCTCACTACTCATTTAACCAATATCCTAGAGTTGGACATTAAGGCTATTTCCAGTTTTTCACTTTATAAAATTGTTACTTTGTACCTGCTTACAGCTACATTTTTATGCATATGTTTCAGATAAATTTCTAGAAATGGAACTGCTCCCTAAAAATTTCATGTCCCGTATCAGCAAAATCCAGAAATCCTAAACCAGTCCTTAAAGTGACAAAACTTTAAAGTCAAAACTTAAAGTCACCAGTTCTTAGGAGACTGTATACCCAGGACTTCCTGCAATACTGGGCATACCGAGGGTATTCAGCAGCAGCTTGTTTTTTATGAAGCAGCTAAGACATATTGAGTCAGACCCTGTCCTAAGAGCTTTATAGGCAGTATCTCATGAATCCCCACACCCTCTAAAGACTGTTCTACACAGAAGAGGAAACAGGCTAGGGGAAGCTGGGTGACTTGCCCATGGCCTCTTTGACAATAACCTTTGAGGGGTCATGGCCTGTATACCTCAATCCAGAGCTGTAGAGTAGCCAGGCTTCTGGTTTGAGTAGGGAGCAGGGACATTAACCAAGAGAGAATTCCACCCCTTCATGCCTGGTGTGCTCCCACTGGCCTTCCCCAAGGCACCCGAAGGCCAGAGAAGTGACAAGGAAGGGAGCTGGTGTAAAGACAGAGGCTCCCAGGCCTCTCTTCTAAGCCTGAGAATATCCCTCAATTCTCTTGGCTTTCAAGTTTACATACATACACAAAGACCTCACGCCCCATGCCTTGATGCTGGTTTATTAGCTCCTGATGGTGTCATCCATATGTCTGGAATGTAGGCACAGGGAACTGCACATGGAGGGCCCAGAGAAGAGAGAGAATGGAAATACTGGGCAAACTGCCAGTGTTTCAGAACAGCTGGGATGCAGAATGCCAATGGAGGAGTGTGGATAGACAAGGCTGTATCCACATAACCTTGCTGCTTATCCCAGTTTTTCAGGTGACAAAACTGAGGTTAAGGCCAATGACAAGCTGGAAACCACATGGCTAGTGAGGAATACAGCCGGGACTAAAAGCCAGGTCCGTCTGACCCCAAACTTCATGCTCCTTGAACCATATATGCCATCTTACTACCCACACTTGCTCACCTCCTGCGTCAAAGATTCCTCTGTACATTTGCTCATGCTTAGATGCCCACAGTGGCCAGGCAGGTAACCCTGATGTAGCAGGGACAAACTGGCTTTCATGTGCCACAATAAAGAGGCCAATCACACTCAGCCAATGGGCCCTGTATTGCCCAGTTTGATATTTCAAGACATTTTAATAGGTGATCTCCACATTGTAAAAAATTGTTGGTGCCCTGGCCAGTGTGGCTCAGCTGGCTGGAGCATCATCCAGTGAAGGTTGTGGGTTTGATTCCTGATAAGGGCACATGCCTAGGTTGTGGGTTCAAACCCTAGTGGGGGCACATGGGAGGGAACCAATTGATATTTGTCTTATATCTCTCTGTCTCTGTCTCTCTCTCTCTCTCCCCCTTTCCCTTCCCCACCCCCCTTCTCTCTAAAAAGCCATGAGAAAATGTCCTCGGGTGAGGATAAAAAATAATTAATTAATTAAAAATTGTAACATTGTTGACAGCCTATACCGGTCTAACAAAGGTTATGTGCCATTTGTGGGTGACTCTGGCCTGTGGGCAGGCAGTCCACAAATTTGGTCCCTATAATGTGAGCTCTTCTATTGCCTGGGCAGTTGTGTGTTAACTAACATGCTGCTCCTTGGAGCCTCCTGAAAAATATCCAAGGGGCTGCTGTGTTTCAACAGCTCCCAGAGTTGCACAATTGGAGTCTTAAATTATTGCTGTGAACAGACAACTGGGGTCTGTTGACACACGCTGCGGAGACTCGCCTCCGCAGAAGATTATCTCTCGCTACCCACCACCCTCACTCTGGGCCTGAAATAACCACCTGGGCTCCAGCTTCCAAGTGAGATCAAAACCGCCCAGAAATGGATTTCCTGGCCCATGAGGAAAAAAGGTAAAGCAAGGGGACTTCAGGGCCTTGGCCTCACTCTTAACCTACCCATTTACCAGTTTCTAGGCAAGTCAAAAATGCTTCTGGTTGCCTGGAATAAAGACCAAACCCTACCACCCTAAGAATAGGGGCTTGTTCTAGAAGGATATACATGTAATGGCATCTTCAAAATAGCAGTAGTTAGCTGAGCTGCGTACCATGCCAGGTGTGCCATGCCAGGTGTTTCAAGTGCAGTCTGAAGACAACCCAAAGAAGAAAGTACTTCCCTTAAGCCCATTTTATAGATGAAGAAATTGAAACTCAGAGAGGTGATGTGACCTGCCCAAGATCGCACAGGTGGTAAGAGGTGGAGCCTGGGATTCTGATCCCCACGTGGAACAAAGGGTCTCTCTCAGATATCTTACAATAATAAGGCCCCAGGGGGAAGGGGACTCTTACTCACTATTCTGGGTCATCATTAGGGAAAAATTCCCTGTGGATTTAAAAAACAAAAAATACAGGTTCTGGCCAAAAAAAACCCCCACAAAAAACCAAAAAGCTCAGACAACTGGAAATTTAATGAGATGCATGCCAAAGTATGCAGAGCGTTTGGGAGTATATAAATGCAACTTTCTCTGAAGTGCAACAAAAAGTAAGGTGGATGGGGATGGGTGGATAGAGGCAGACAGAGGTGCTATAAGGTGAGTAAACTATTCACTGTAGAATCTAAATGGTGCACTCATGGGTGTTCACCATACAGCTCTTTCAATAATAATACAATGTCAGGGTGAGTCAGATGCTAAAGTGATTCTGAGACCCACCCTACTTACTGGTCACTAATGCCCTCCCCCACCCAGTGACAAGCAGGCTTCCTATGCACTCATTCACATAACATTACCGGAAGGTCACTGGACAGACAGAAACTTCTTGGCCTCTGGTGCCCCTTTTTCTTGACTCCAAGCCAGAGCATGGGGCCTTCCTTTCCACAGGCCCCAGCCATGGAAACTGCAGGCCCAGGCCACATTGGGGAGAGGTGGAATTACACACCTCAATGACCAATACTCCTGGGCCCCCTGCACCAATGGTGATGCCTGCTTTTCCATGCACACTCGAGGTGACCAGCTCTACTCCTAGCTTAGTGGAGGAACCTGTAAGCAAAATTTACTTTTTGGAAGTAAGAACCATCCTTCCAGGCTAATAATAACAGCAGCAACTGCTTCTGCCACTACTACTACAAGCCATGCATGGTGCCAGCTGCTATCGCTATGCCTGCTCATTTCATCCACAGACTCCTGCCAGGGACCTTTACAGAGGAGGAAACAGAAGCTCAAATGCACTAAGCGTAAAGCAACCAAACCTATGTGGTGATGCAGGATTCTGATACGGGAAGGCTGTGGTGCAGGTCTGCAACTTATTATCACCACCAAGATTGTGTTACTGAAAGAGTTGCGCACATCCCACCATTTAGATTCCACAGTGAACAGTTAACGCACCATATCGCATCTCTGTCCACCTGTCCTCTCTACACCCACCTGTCCACCTTACATTTTGATGCATTTCAGAGAAATATATATCTATGGCCAGTTGATTTTTGATATGGATCGACAAGATCATTCAATGGCGAAAGAATAGTTTATTCAACAAATGGTACTGGAACATCATGCAAAAGAAGGAAGTTGGGTCTCTACCTCATGCACATACAAAATGGATCAAAGACCTACATGTAAAAGCTAAAACTATAAAACTCTTAGAAGAAAACATGGAGATAGATCTTCGTAACTTTGGATATGGCAATAGATTCTTAGAAATGATACCAAAAGCACAAGTAGCAAAAGGAAAAATAAATTGGACTTCACCAAAATTAAAAATATTTGCACATCAAAAGACATTGTAAAGAAAGTGAAAAAACAATCTACAGAATGAGGGAAATATTTGCAAATCATAATATGATGAAAGTCCAATATCCAGAATATATAATAAATACTTGCACCACAACAACAAAAAGACAAACAACCCAATTTAAACACATGCAAAGGACCTGATTAGAATTGTTCCCCAAAAGGATATAGAAATGGCCACTAAGCACATGAAAAGATGCTCCACATCATTTATTCATCATTAGGGAAATGCAAAAAGGCACTAAGCTGGAATCTGAGCCTGCATCTGTCTGACTCCAGAGGCCTGAGCTTCCTGAGTCTGTTCCCTCACTCCTCCAACACTAGTCCACATCTTCTAAGGGCCAGTCCAGGGAGGTGAAACAAGGTCAGATCTCCTGGGGGCTGCATGGCACTGGTGGGGCT